ACTCTCATGACATCCATGCCACTGTTGTAATGGTGGTCATGTCTTGCCAGTCCCATCATTACTGTGGCTCACAAAGCTCACAGCTGGACAAAACTTACAATTATTTTCTCCTCTGGTAGCATCCATAGCATCTTCCAGCACTTTGGAAGTTGGCCAATTGGAATAAAGCTTTGTAGTCCCAGCTTGAGCTCTCCATGTTCCATGACTCAAATGTGGGCTTTTTATCAGTAGGGTCTTACCATCAAATTCTGAAGGGTAAAAAGAGAACTGGAATAGCTTGTGATGATTGGGGGAGTCGAAGACCTCGCTGGCCAACAAGTCCTGCGAAATGGACATAGTATTAAACCAATTCCTAAAGACTTACAACTGCACCCATTATTAGTGTGTCTTTGAGCCTTCAATAGAGGACTTTTGTCTTTTGTTTTCTTGTGGGGGTTTTCATTGTTTTGTTTTGTTTGTTTGTTTTGTTTTGCAGTAGTTCGTTTTTTGTTTTTGTTCTTTTTATTAACACAGACCTGCAACAAGTCAAGGTACAGGGAATAAGAGACTGGAGCAGTCAGCTCTAAGTGGGATATCTGCTTCACGCACACCCCCTTCTCTCAAGGCTCAGGAATCTTGCAGAAGAGGGAGTTGAAAAGATTGTTAAAAGCCAGAGATCGTGGATGATTACAACAAAGTAGCGGTTTCCAGAGACGGCGGGGCACTTGCACATAGGGACATGTGACAGTGTAGTCTGTACAATACCTGAGCAAACTCCAGCCAGGCAGACTTCCATCACAGAGAGGGGAAGTGGACACGAAGCCCTACCACCCAGCTGAGGAGCTATTGGCAGTTGGGATCTGCTGGAAGACGGAGAGTCATTCTTGGTCTTGACTTAAGGGTGTGGTCCCTGGTAGATCCTCCAGTGGATGGCCTCATCACATCTATTTGTGGGCAGCACAAATTGGACTCACTGGGCTTTTTTTTTTTTTTAATGAGAACACTAAGTTGGGCCATTAGGGAAGAAAGGAATGGATATGGAAGGAGTTGGGGAGGGAATATGATCAAAACACATCATATGAACTTCTCAAAGGGAAGACAGCCAGCTGAGCAGAAGGCGGGATAGGTGAGCCAGTTAGCTGCACTTTCCCATGTCTGTGCTCTGCTTGGCCCTGCCTCCAAGGCTCCCGCCCTGAGTTGTCACCCTAACTTGCTTCAGAAACGGGTTCTTACCTGACAGTAAAGTGGAATAAGGCCTCTCCTCACCAGGTTGTGTTTGGACATGATGTTTGTCCCATCAACAGAGATCGGAGAACATATTGTCCGCCGCCCCCTCACTATCCCTTCTGCTTCCTTCTTCTAAATTCCTGTAAGCTGTAACTGTATTTCTGTATTGTTCAATTGGGAAATTCAACAATATCTAGGTTCTGTTTTTTTTAAATACTATTGTACTTAATGGTTCTGATTATATTTAAGGGATGACTTGTTAAATTACTAAAATTAACAGGGTTTTCAAAATCATATCATCAATGGACAAGGATTAGATTTTCTTTGCCTGTCCAGTCACTTCAGGAAAAAAAAAAAAAAAACCTCCCAATACTGACATGATTTTGTTATAATTAAGAGCTCCTATGACTTCTGTTCTTCCTGAAGTCATTTTCTTCTTCTTTTTTTTATTGAGAGGAGAAGTGAGACCCACCTGATTTAGCATTTCATTTAATAGCTAAACTCAATGGAGTTACACTATCTGGTCTGTATACTCCATTGTTGTTTTGAAGATGTTGAGACCAGCTGACTTTCTAGGCTAAAGTGGGCAGATTACCTCGAAGTTTCCTCAAGTTGTGGGCGCAGGAACGGGACAGAGAGGCTAGCATTTGGGAAAGGCATTCTCTCTACCCTCACATATTATTTACATTATAGGTGGGTAAGAATGCTAGACGTGAGATGTTTCTATTTGATAGTTTAACTGTCTGCAGGTTCTTACTGAGGTGGGTGAACCCCTGCCGTGTGGAGTGTGTAGGAACAGTGTGAGTTGAGAACTGTTCATTATTCATGAGATGTGCTTAATTCCCTCATAATGCTTACTCTTCCTTCTAATTAAATCTTCCAGATCCCAAATACCATTTGAGTGAAATAAACATGCAAATCTACCCCTTTCCTATTTATTCTGTGTATGGTGTGCGAGCCTGGTACCTGTGGAGGCCAGAAGAGGTCATCAGATCTCCTGGACCATGTAGGTGCTGGGAACTGAACCTGGGTCCTCAGCAAGAGCAGCCAAGGCTCTTAACCACTGAGCCATCTCTCCAGCCTCTAGATTCTTTTAAAAGAGTTTAGTGTTTCATCTAGAGCAAAATATCAATTGATAACAGTCACAGAAATAGCAATTTAGTTCTTTTTTTCCTGATTAATAAAGTAGACCTTCATTTCTTAATGAAAGATAAATATTAGTGCACAGATATATCCTGATACAATTTTCAGTGGGTTGAATATTTAATAGTTTTTTTTTTATTTTAATCCTTTCTTTTGGCTAAATGAGACCTACACCAAAATTAAAAACTAAGTTCTGGAGGCTGAGGAGATGGCTCAGCACTTAAGAGCACTGTATGCTCTTCAAGAGGTCCTGAGTTCAATTCCCAGCAATCACATGGTGGCTCACAACCATCTATACTGGGAACTGATGCCCTCTTCTGACATGCAGATAAAGCACTCATACATAAAATTAAAAAACAACAACTAAATTTTACTTTTACTTTTTAGGTATTCTGTGAGTATTTTTTTGAATTAAATGTCAGTATCCTCAGGAAGATTGGTACTGTTTTATTTTTATGTATGATATTATTTAATTTTATCTTAATTTTGTTATGAAATGTTAAAGAAAATAATTAGTTCTTTATCTCATAGGCACAAAAGTGGCTTGTTTCTCATTTCTGTCTACTACAATGGGTCACTTAACAGAAAACTCCTATGGTAGCTGGTATCAACCTTTTTGTCTCATGACTTCTAAGTGACCAAGAGGTAACATTGGTATATAAATATTGAATTCCTGAAACAGCTTGCTTATCTAGTACAGATAAAGAGGAGAAACTGAGTAGTAATAAATCATGGGGCACTTGTGCCATAGGAGCTGTCAGTTTAATCCAATGGGCTTTGGTGCTGAACTGTAGCCATGTGAGTGCTTAGTTTGCTCTAGGAGAACTAAAATGATGAATGGCTTGAAACTATAGCAAAAAGTTTTAATTACATCTAATATAAACATAATAATAACCTGTGTTTTAAAGTTTTATGTTTTTAAAATAAAAATACTGTTATCAAACTGTAGCATTCCAATGTATTTTTTCCAGGACTTTGCTTAGCATGTTGGACTTAGTGTACCTTGGATGTTAGGAGTGCAGAATTCCAAGTTGCTTAGCAAATATTAGCTCTGAATGCCTTCTGAATCTGCATTGTGTCAGTTTATTTCTAGAGTTATAAAATAATAAAATGTGTTTATATAATTATATTCATTACCTTTGCATGCCTGAGATCAAAACAGCTCACAGAAACTTGAAGAATTTGTTTTGATTCATGCTTGTTAGAGGAGTTCGGTCCGTTGTAGTTGGAAGGCATGGCAGAGAGGTTACATCTTTGGCAGCAGGAATCTGACGCCAAGGCAATTCAAACCCTGACATACCAGGAAGCAGAGACCCGGACCAGAACCAAGGCCTGGGCTGTAACCTTTAAAGACCTCTCACAATGATGTACATCTTCCAGCCCGGCCTCACTTCCCCAAAGTTCGGTAGTCGAAATTGTTCTCAGAACTCGGGTTAAGAATAAGAACCATGGTCCCACAATGAGCTTACAAGACTTGGAAGTAGCAGTCTTCCTGCCGCGCTCCATGCACAGCGGGTCCTGAAGACATTTAGTTCTCTTTTGTAGGTTACCCATGGCACTGCTGTGCTCTCATGGAAACCATTAGCTGTCATCTCCTTGTAAATGGAGCACAGAGTCCAAAAGTTGACAGTAGATGTTGAATGCTTAGAAGATTATTTCAACCATGTTTTTTTGTTCCTGGTGCCTTGGCAGTCTGAATCAGAAACGGTTCAAGAGTGCGGTGGCCCATCTTACATGTTATTGTTTTGTTTTGTTTTTTGGGATTTTTTTTTTAGACATGTAGGCCAAGTTAGGCTTGAATTCTCTTTGTGTGGTGGAGAAAGGCTTTGAACTTCGGATTTTCCTGCCTTGTAGCCCCCTGAGTGCTGGCATTACAGGCATGGGCCACCATACTCAGTTTATGAGGTGGTGTGGATTGGCCCTGGGCTGTGTATGTATTCCCAGCCTGGTCTGAGTTATTTCTTAGTGCCATCTACAGGCTGCATAGCTATGAGCCCATAATTATTGACAAATAGGCCCAGTAAGGGAGGTCACTTGACCAGGGGCTGAGTTACTAGGAGGCCTTGTACCCAGGTTTTAATTTACACCTGCCTTAAAGAGGGACTCTCAGATAATTGATGGGCTGCACAAAGCCCGGATCCGCTGCTGTTGGCCCAGCACATACAAAGAGAAAACCATATCACTGTAAAAGGACGAAGTGCCGAGTAGCAACCATCATCAGCTTCCGTTTCATTGCCCAAATCATGCTTTAGTAGGGAGCCTGAAACATGAGTGCTCGTGCGTCCTTGACTACAAAGGAGGAAAAGAGTAGAGTGACAGGTGAAAACATGTAAAGGTGTGACTGGCCACAACTTTACTAAGAGTCAAACAACAACCTCTGCCAGGTTTGACTCTTGTGTTAGTTATAAAGTTCCTGACTATATTAAAATGTTCACCAGCATACAAGTCCCAAATTGCATTACGGGCTTATAATGGTACAGTTACTACTTGAAATCTTTTAGATGAAAATATGATTATGAACAAATTGAAAACTTCACTTCAGAAATGCTACATAAGACTTTTAATTTGATAAAACGGATACTGTAATATTTGACATATTTTGCTTTTTAAAGACATTAATTGCATTTTCTTCTATTCGTCTCTTTATCCAGATACATATCCAGAGAACGGAAGGGTGTGACCATATGACTTGTTCACAGTGTAACACTAATTTTTGTTATCGATGTGGAGAGAGATATCGCCAGCTCCGTTTTTTTGGAGACCACACATCAAACCTCAGTATATTTGGATGCAAATATCGCTACCTCCCAGAGAGACCTCATTTAAGAAGATTAGTTCGAGGGTCAGTCTGTGGTGAGTAGCACGCACACTTGCTGTTGGGTGTCTTCCTTAGGATCCAAGAGTGGCGATAGAAGGGTCCAGGTGCGAGAACCCTGAGGGCTTGCTGTGTGCCAGGGGTTCCGGTAAGGCCGTTACCAAACTATAGGAAGAGAGTCCCTCCTTTTGTGATCAGAGCTGGAAAGGGAAGACTGTTACTATGACACTCTTCCATGATCAACGCTCCTGAAACCCTGAGTGCAAAGCCACTTGTGGCAAGCAGAGTGTCATATTTATTTTTATATGACACTACCAGGTATCAAAACACAAGCGTGCTCTATTGATTCATTAATGAGTACAGTACAGCATGAAACAGGGGACAGTGATTTAAAAAAAAAACAAAACATACTCACACCTCAGAGCCCTGTAACAAATGTGTAGACGTCTATAGAAATAGTGTTGGTGTGTATGAACAACTACCTGGATGATGGAACGAGTATCAAAACTCTCATTTACATATAAGCCCAAGTTTAGCTCCCCAACTGTAACTGCTTTGTGAATTCCTTTAGCCCCCTCTTCATCAAACCCACATACAAAATGCAGGCAGAAACAGATACCTGGCCCCATGTCCTGCCTTAGCCTGTGCAGTTCTCATGGCCTCAGCTGATTTCTTGCACTAGTGCCAACCCCTGGGCGATGTGTCCACCAAAATTTCTTCCTCTTTCTATTGTGTGCTGCTTCAGCGCTTCTTCCTCTCACGGGTTTTCTCTTGCGCACCCCGCAGTCTTTAAACATCGAAACATTTTCCTTCTCTCCCAACTGCTTTGTCTAGTTCTAAGAATGTCTTTGTGGCTCTCCTCAGCAGTTTCGTTGTTGTGACTCACCCCTCTGTCTGGAATCATTATGGCTGATTTGAGAAAAGTTGGTAGTTATAATAGATCTGTGTCAAAAACTCTTTATTTCTTAAGTATACTTCAATATGTAGAAACTAGTATTGCCCCTTTTTGAAACTGTGGTCACTGTAAAAAAAAAAAAAATACCCCAACTAAATTTTAATTAAACACACTTTTTACAGAATCAATACCATACAATAGCCAATTGGTTTTAATAATTTTCAGTATTTTCTATACCTTTATTTGCTTCTAAGGTAAAAATTACAATTATAAAACCAGGATTTACTTGCTGTTTCTGTGGACTTTGAGGATAGCTAAGAAATGTATTTGTAAGAGTCAGGAGGGAAGATTGCAAACAGCAAACAAAGCTGTGACCATCTGTAACTCTATATATGGAGAACAAGCTCAGACACAAAGCTCTCATTTCTCCTGGTCTCCCTTCTTTCCTGTTCCAGTGCCATCTTGGCTTCTGTGAAGAAGTTTCTTCCATCCTTTATCCTGGATGGTCTTTGCTTTGACCGGTCCTTTTTTCTTTTCTTTTCTTTTCTTTTCTTTTCTTTTCTTTTCTTTTCTTTTCTTTTCTTTTCTTTTCTTTTCTTTTCT